TATGTGTCGTAACGTTGTAGACAAAGGGGGAGAGTTTAATTCTTTACTTGTAAATGGTAAGGGTCACAAAAACGATACGATACAGCTAATAATGATGAAAGGAAAGGAAAAGGAATCAACCAAACTGCTTGAGCGTAATGAAAAACTGGTTATAAAAAGCTCCCCGGACAACACTCAATACAGCTTATATACGGGAAAAGTGGGAGTGGTTTTGCTCCAAATATTTCAACAGATGTGATTTAAAACAAAGATCTAAGACATGAGTGATAATTGCATAGATAGATAATTTTTTATACTTTGGTCTTTCGCGAAATTGGAATTCGCGACAGAATTCCCTAGCATTATTTATTGAGGTACCGTTGAAGATGATTTTCATTTCTTGATATTTGAGAAGAGCTCCATCGGTTCCCTTGCTAGATACTACAATGTTGTCGACATAGAGGTTTTTCTTGGTTTCGTCGGCGATTTACTTCCGTTATTTTCCAAATGATAATTAAGTGTAGCCGATAATAAAAATGGTGAAGATATTACTCCGAATGGGACTCTTGAAATCAATAGTATTCGATATTATCTTCCGTTGCTTGTCTCCGTATATCCTTCAACAAAAAAATCGTGTGCAGTTTCTTTCTGATGGGAGTAGTTCCAATTTTAAAAAGGCCTTTTCAATGTAAGCTATTATAATTTCCATCATTCGGAAACGAAACAGTACTCCTACTAAATCGGGAAGAATTATGGGTCCCCGATATAATACATTGTTCAATCCTTTTCTTCCCTTTTGATGCGATGATGCATCATAAACAATTCTAAGTTTGGTTGCAGTCTTATTAGGAGTTATAACTTCATGATGAGGAAGATAATGGATAATACCAACCTGGTCCATTTCTGGACATACTTTCTCGATAACGTTAGATTGTATCTGATCGCGAATCGTTTCGTCGTATTTGAGAAGCGTTCATTGTTCTGAAGTTGTTTAATTAAAGATTTTAATCGACCAAAACACAACCCGAAATTGTCATTTAACTTGATTCTTGTTTCTTTCTACGGCCAAGCAACTTGATATCTGCCATTATTTTTGGTGATATTTTCCTTGAACCTTTCTAAAGCTTGTTCGTCCTCATGCAGATTAGATTGATCTTGTATTTCTATGAATTCCAACTTCCAGAATCAATCATTCTCTGAAATGTCCATATTGCTAGGTGTAACGGTAGTTTGATCCTCATTCTGGACGGATTTCGTGTGAGTCATAAATCATCTCGTTGAGGCGATTACCATGCTTGTCCATATGTCCGCTTCCAGCAATCATTGGGCCGACTATTGTGTTGATTAAAAAAAACCCTGAACTTATAGTTAGGGTTTTTTCTAACAGAATAAACTTGAAGAAGTGGTCGACTCCAATAATTAACTCAAATTGTTTCCAACTGCTATTTTCTTCTTTTAATGGGAATTGAATTGAAATTTCTGATACATCGCCTTGGTTTATAAATATTACTCTTAGCTTACTTGTTAAATAATTGACTACTGTAGCTACTATAGGTATAATATCTGCTTCAATAGTTTTTATTCCAATTCGTACTTTGTCGCAAATTCCGATTCGCGAGACTCCAACCATACAAATATATAATCAAATAAATTTCTTATTGTAAATGAATATATCCAATGTTATGACTCATTTAATTAATTCTACAATTCTTAGATTTATTTCCATGTTTTTTCGGTCTTTATCTCACTACCCATCTTTGTCCGGACGCATCTTTATCCATATGCTAATCTTTCATTGTGATAATGCTTTTACTGTAAGTGGATCCTAACCGTTTCCGTTATGTAAAATTGCCCATGAATGTTTAATGAAAACCACTCCCATTTCCTAATAGATATAAACCCGATGGTATTAACCGAGAGAACGGTTATCAATAAATTGTCTACAATCTGGTGCGTGTACAACTCAACTCAAATCATCGTACCTGAATCAACTCAATTCAACTTAATTCAATGCTACTACAACTCGCGTTATATCGCTGGCAATAGTTGTCTCTTCGTCGACATCACCCTCTCAAACGAACCCTATCAATATTCGCTACATACTTTGGCTGCAATGGATTGTTGAGATTTCCTGTTACCGAATGTTGCAAACTTCACTCACTCGTAATCAATATCTTCTAAGTTTAATCTCTTTGCTAGTTTCTTTGACATGCAAGTTACTTGGGCACTACTATCGAATAAAACTACGACTTTATTTGAAGCCTCTTGCATATCCAAATTAATTGCCTCAACCACTTTGCAGAAAAACAAAGTTTCCGTGTCATTTCGTCTCGAATGTTCTATTACTGGGTTGATTACCATTGTCGAATTTGTTACTTTGGTTAGTTCGACTGATTGTGCTGGATCATTATATTCGGTATTATGATGACTTCCAATGGAAACACATGCGTTTTTTTCTCTCACAATCGATTGTTGCATGTCCTGGTTGAAGACAATTTAGACAGGCATTGTTTTCTTTCAGTTGTTGCATTCTTTGTTCTATACTAGGATAACCATGGCATTCATTATCCCAATGATTCTTGTTGCAAAAAACACAAGGTCTTTGAGTTTTACCAACCTTCTTCGCATTAGCTTTTATATATGTTTGCGGAGTCGTTATAGTTAGAGCCGAATTTTCTTTTGGAAAATATCGTGAATTAATTTGTGGGTTAATTTTATCTTTAGTTGATTTTTGCTCCTTCATAATGTTGGGATATTGGCTTCTCGTAACTTCTTCGTTTCTTTGAATCAGTTTCGCTAAGAATTGTCTTCTCGACTGACCATATTTCTTGCTCCTCCTTTTATTGATACATTCTATCCAGAATCCAAGCACGAAGTTTATTTTCAATGATGTCTTCGGTACTGGATTGTTCAAAGTTTTCGCCCCCAGTAATTATTTGGGGTCATACTTTTGTTAGGAAAAGTGAAGAGTTAGTTCATGTAAATATATTTCAAGATCATTAAAATCGAGGATCCGAGACGGAATTCCTTGATAGAAGTACCTCATCCATTCATTATACCAGGAGGTCGATTCAGAGAATTTTACTATTGGGATGCATATTGGATTGCAAAAGGTTTGATTGCGAGTGACCTTTAAGTGATGGTCAAGAATATGCTGAAGAACTTCATCTATTGTGTCAAAAAATGAGTTTTTATTTTGAGTTGCAGCAAATTAATTTTGACCCATATTTCATCATCGGACTGCAAAACATAGATTTCTGTAAAACCGCACTAAATACAAGGCTTGTCGGACTATCGAAATTAAAGCTATGTTCAAATTTCCGCAATATCCAACAGACACGGTGACGAATTCTTGGAAGTAAAATTAAAGCAATGAAGAAGATGTAAGCTAACAATGGACAGCATAACACAAAAACGTCTCAATACATCAGTGGTTGTACTCATCGATCGAGATAAACGTCTGAGAAATAGAAATGTCAACTTATAAAAGGTCAGTTAGGGACGAACAAAATATGAACAACACTAACAGCAGGAAGGTTAAGGGGAAGATATCTCATTGGACAATATATAATCAGTTAGCCAACAGCAATATTTTCTTGAAGATACTTTTACGCAACAGATTGAAGTAATTTGTAGCTATCAATTAATTTCTAAGAAAGATTGATAAATGCCAATGATTAATAAAAGGTAGAGCCAGTATCTTTTAAAGGAAAGACTACAATTTCATCATGTTCTACAGTTGCTGTTCTCGACGACTCTTCTTTCCCCGTCATTCGGAATAATTACTTTTCCTTTATCAACAGAAAAAAAATAGTTATTCCGGATGACTCCATGTCCGGATAACGAGGTAGGAAGAGTTAGAGGAACATACTGATTTATTTCACCACTGTTATTTTAATCTAGTGAAATTATTGTGCGGTTTCAGGATAGTCGTTTATTTTAGGTTCGGGTTTATACCGAATGGCGGACGTGTTTATTATTTAAGACGTTCACAACCGCCATTTCTCATCGCAATGGATGTGAATATTACAAAGTCACAGAAGATATCAAGTTTTATTCAAAAAAATTTTCGACC